TTCACCGCCGGACCTTGGGGCTCATGTGTTCACACAGAGGGACACCCCCCCCTCACGATGGCGCTTTTGCGGGGTGGGGTGGGAAGCGGCGGGGAACAGAGGGAATCCGAATAGGAACCTCTGACCGCTTCGGCCGGGGCCGAGGCGAATGAGTAGAGTTATAAGTACCCTAAATGGATTTACCCTGATTATAATCCTACTTATAACCGACTTACTAAGTCCCCTGGGCCTCCAAGTAGGCCTTTCTAGGGACCAAGCATCCAACACCAAAATTGAACACTCTGACATGACATGATGTCAGCTCCAGACGATGCTGCGTCGTGTGCAAATCTCGTTGCTGGCCAAAACACCATGATTTTGTAGATCGTGGTGACCTTCCCACGATGCAGCAAGCACGCTGTATCATTTACGAATGTTAATCGAAAGTTGCGCTGCTTCGACAGAACTTCATTCGACACTCGTCAAATTCATCTAACCTGATACGAATATCTTACACTTGACGTTCAGGCATGTACAGTGTTGCATCCATCTCGCTTCCACAAGAGAGACGGCTGAAAATTCAATCCGAGCAACGTCTGCGCTTTTTAAGCCAATGGCGCACAGCGCGCGCCGCAGCTCGTCTGTGCTCAGGGTTCCTTGGAATCTTGCAACCGGCTAGGACCTACAAGCATTTCTCGACTCGCTCGGAGACACGACGCAATCTTTCGGAAACGTACCCGTTTGGGGTTGTAAGATTCACTGCATCATTAAACTCGCTGCACGGCCGAATAGCCAATGCGAGACTGGCGACTTCCCCCGTCGACGGGAAGTCATGGCTTGCGCGGCGTAATGCCGCTTACCCTGTCTGGGCTTCAGGCCATCGCAGTTGGAGTCTATGCGGTTGAACAGGGCTTGGAGGCTATCCTGGACAGAACGGTTTTGGTTCAGGTCCACGCATCTGCACTCTCGCGCAAAGCAGCGGCCTTCTGCGCCCATTCCTCCACGGATCCAGCACTCATCGCCTTGGAAGCACTCAAGGTCTGCACTGCTCCAAGAGCCCTGACTGAGGTACAGTTGAGGGACCGTTGCAAGCGCCTAGTGCTGCAAGCTGTGCCGGCCGCTCTAGCTACAGATCTGCAGCCCAATTTAGGTTCGGTCACGGCAGGCTAATCTGCATGTACACGGCAATCCCGGCACATGAAACCCACCTGGGCTGTGCACCTAGCCAGTATTAGGATTCATCGTACGTCTATAAAGACAAGAGGAGGTAGCCAGTCGCTGCACTGCCATGCTCAGCCCCCCACCCGCTGCTTTGCGCTGCACCACTCACTAGTTAGTCATTGGACGACTCACCACGCGCAGCGCTTTTTTGAATGCCGGCACTCATTCTCATAGATCGGCCTGCAGGGGTGAAATGAGGCGGAGGCCAAGCTGGCCAACGCTGCCGCATCAGCCGCAAGTCCCGGCAGGCATGCAAGAAACGGCAAGAGCAGGCAACGCTGTCACATGGACCGCCAGAATTTCCACCTCAGACTCGCATCCGGTGGACGTGCTCCGAAGGCTACAATTCAGAGTCCCAAGCCATGATTTGGGCCCCTGTCGCTGAAGCTGCACGCTGAAGGCCTCGCCTGAAGTGAGATAGTGACATAACATGCAACAGAATCCATCGCACCGAGCATCCGCCAGGGGTCGGAGTCGGCTCATGTAGACACATCAACTCACACTGCTGGCAGCCGACAGCACACTGTCGCACTTCACACCAACTGCCAAAGACGGACACAGCCTATAAACAAATGGCGAGAAAAGCCTTCATAGGACCAAGCGTAGAGCAAAATGCAGCTGAGCTGACATCCGTGATCACTCGGCCATTCGCCGGTGGCATCGCAGTTTCGATGACTTTCGATGATTGCTCCTTGGGAGTTGAAGTCAGTGTTAACTGTTGGATGATCTTCCCGGAAAGATCACTTCCATCAACTCTTTGTAAAAAGCCGGAGCCACCGGCTAAACCTCACCTCAAGCTTCCTTGCGGTCTGCATGCTGCCTAGCAACCCTACACTCGCACGTCGAACACAGGCGGCCTTTAGGGGAGGGGAGCAGAAAGCCCAAGCCCTCTAACGATGTAGGCCGTCGAGGATCTTCTTGAGAGCGGGTCGCAAACCATGTCTGTGCGAAACTCCTGCAAGGGGTAGCAGGTTTCGTGCTTGAGCTAGCTATGCTTGTCGCCTCACCACGTTGCGGATTCCATCTTGAAGATGGTATTTTGGACACGTTCCAGACAACCGTGCCGTGCTCAATCCATATGTAGATACCTCTTGTCTAGTTGATGCTCAGTACCGAATTATGCGACTATGTCTAAGTACTGGTTTAAGTAACACAAAGAGAAAACTTCAAATAAGTTGTCGCTTAATAGTTGTTTAAACTTGTTCACATGAACCGAAATTGTATGCTCGTATCAACCTTGAGCAATATTTTCTCTCTATATGCATATATACATATAAATATATACATGTATATATCTATACTACACATGAGTTCTTGATGATAAATCACATTATCAGTGCTCAACTTGTATTCCGCACAAGTAAATGCTAACACAACTGATTCGTGATGCAGTCAATACTCAACCACATGTCACAGGCATCTAAGCAGTGATTAATACAAGTGTGAATCAATAGCTTGAACAGTGTGTATCATTCGCACAGAACCATTGTATAGAAACGGCTTAGCAACCAGTTCAACCAAGCCTGTTGAGCATTAAACCTCGATTCTGTAGAATACTCTTTTGAAATTTGCGTAAGTCTCGCTGCATCTTTGCAGATATGTCGCTCATGGAAGTTCAATATTGGAGATGTTGGTCTAGGTTTTATCTTATTGTGGTCTTCAGGCTGTGCCTCACGACCATAGGTCAGTGCAGTTGCTAGAGCTCATCTACGTATTCACTTGATACCTAAGTGATGTTGAGTGCAGTCCTTATGTATATGGAATTATCATTGCAACAATACGAAAGTGTAAGCCTTAATTCAATACTCGCCGAGCATGCGAAACAAATACACAGCTCAACAGATATTCCTTTGCTTATAAGCTCCAGATCTACAGACATGACGTTAAGACACTGTGCAATCGCGCCCTGTTTCAGCTATGTAACAGGGCAATCCATAATTTAGTCGCTCGTGAATATGTGGTGCGCATTTATGAGTTTTTGCAACCTCATTCTCAATGAAACCAGCGGTAGTCACTATCGAGGAACACATTAGCACTTGAACGAATGATTATCTGATTTGTTCGATTAGCTACTCTAGTATTTATTCATGTGAATGGAGTATGTAAGCATGAGGCAGAAGAACATGAAACAATCAGCATGCATGGATATTCGATCTAACAGATGCAATAACCCATGTATGGCAAATGCTGTTTGTCAGTGAAGCTGTAGGGAATGGATAAGAACTGGATGACACGTGGGTGAGGCGAAGCGTATAGGAAAACAATTGTAATTTAGCGGCTGTGGCCATCACCTGGGCACATGAGGTTTTGCAGACACACACCGGCGGAACAACCACCCGAAACGGGTAGGTACATTGGCGGGTGTAGCAGTGTAGCACGCGCATGCATATACATATATACATAT